AGAGAGAGAGAGAGAGAGAGAGAGAGAGAGAGAGAGAGAGAGAGATCCTATGATTAATACTTTGCGTTGTTTTCTTCGGTACGGAATAAAAAAGAAAAATAACTTTTATTTTGAATTTCCATTCAATTTATTAACAGTTTATATGATTTTCTCCAAACAAAATCAATAATAGGACATAAGAAACGACTCTCTCTTTTGGCACAAATTTTGTTTTGCTTTTTACTTTACTTTTCTTACAACACAGAGACTCAAGAATTTGAATTTCAATGCCTATCGATAAGTTTTAGATGAAGTTTTAGGAGACTTTTTACACAACGAAATAGTGAATCCTTTTTTTATATCAGAAATCTTTAAAAACAATCGGTTCGTGAGTTTAAAGACTTTTTGGCGTTAAAAACTTATGGATTTATAGTACAAACAAAATATTTGTATTTCCTATAAATACCTTCTTATCGCATATAATGACAATTGTTCACAGAATCTGTTGCAATGTTTTTGGGCATCAAAAGTGTTATTGCATTAAATTTGTTAAGAAAAATGAACTCTTTTTGGTAATAAATTAAATTTTGTGTCCCTTTTTCGATGATCTCTTAACTCTAGCCTTCATTTGATCACAAATATTGACTAAAACTAAAAGCAATCACTTTTGATGCTTTCAATTAAACTCATTTTTATATATGTTTTTACTTAAGCATTCATTAATTCATTACTAAATTGAGCACGAGTAAAATGTCTCGCATTATGAATGGGGAACTTATTCGCCCATAAAATTGCATGAAATCTGTAAAAATCAATAATACATAAGAATTTGTGTGTAAAGAATTTCCTCTCTATTATGGATTTATTTATTATAGAAAATACAGAGAATTTGTTTGAGATATACAGAGAAATATCTAATTTCCAACAAACTTTTGCAAAATTAAATTATGACAAAAATCTAGGAAGTTTTTTGTTGTAAACTTTTTTAAATAGAATTTTAAATTTCAAATATATTTCTTACTTTTATATTAAAATAAATTTAATTTTCCCATCAATCCATGCAACCTATTCACACAAAATACGGTATATTTTTCATTAAGAGAGACCTGTAGTCCGTAAACTCTTTAGTAATTTAGTGAATTATATAAATAATTTAAGAAAATGTATGTTTTTTGGTACACACCTAAAAGTAATGCCTAAACGACAGCCTAATTAACACATCTATTGACTGGTAAATGATATCCTGATTCCTGAGCCCATCTTTTAATCCGAATTATTGTGTTATTGTGTTGTCAGTGAGAGTGGCTATGGGAAAGGGATGTGTATAATAAATAGTCTGAAGGGAGCCGTTATTTGGTGCCGATCTATAGCCTTAATAGCCATACATTAATGAAAAGTCAACGATATATTGAGTGAGAAGTCTTCGCCGAGTGAGTCGATAAGAGTTGACATTTTGCAGGCAAACACAGCAAATATCAAAGATTTTCGTCGTTTGGAAATCAATAGCATTATAACAAGAGACGAGAGACGGGAGAGAGAGAGAGAGAGAGAGAGACTACAAAAAGCCTAAACTTTATTCTCCAATATTCTGTCTATTTTTATGCCCTTCCGATCGACTATTATTTTCTTTTAAAGTCATCTAAAAAACTATAATTGTTTCGGATTTTTATCTCCAAATTTGATTCAATGTTTATTTC